CTGGTTATTTACCTCATAAATTGGTGACCAGTTGTCAAATTAAAATCCAAAAGCATAAAGAAACCTGTTGTTAACTACCATATCTGCATCTTGTGTTGTCCTTGACTAGTAAAAATCCTGCAGTTGACCTTGTTCTTATAAATTAAAGTCTTAATCTCAAAATCAGTGTGGCAAAGTAGAAGAATTGAATCAAATTACATCTAACTTGCACAGAAAATGTTTGGTAAATATAATTATCTATGATTTGAATTTTGACCAATATAACTGATATGCCAAAATCATCAATTACATATCACATGGTAGTTTGAGTATTTATATAAATGATGCCTCTAGAATTAGGCGCACGTCAGATGAAAAACTATAATTTTATCAAAATATATTATTGTGACAGGTATCGTATCAAGTACGGAGAAGACTACTCAATCAAATATTTGTTAAGAATACAAAAACATAACAAAATAAGTGAACGTCAGTGTGGACGAAACTGTTTTCAATGCTATAACCCTGAATTAAACTTCAACTCACCTGAACAGGACCGAGACTTTGAAAGCTATGAAAATGTGCATGATTTTCAGTGTAACTATGACCAGGAGCAATATGAAACGCCCCACCAACTCGATTAACTGTTAAATTTCCATGAATTCTGCAACCTTCACTGCCTATCTTTTGTTTAATCTCGTTCCAGTTTTCCTTTCGGCACTGTTCAAATGCAGAAATATTTACAAATACCCATCGCATTTCATTATACGCCATTTGAACTTCCTCACATGTATTACAGCATCTTAAAATATAGTCATGGCAGTATATACATCGATTATTGAACGAATCAAAATTAGGGCATATGAAAACACAAAGTTTCATACAGTATGCTGACACAGTCCTATTTGATGAAAGGATTGGTCCGACGGAGCCTCTTGAACGAGTATGTTCGGAAAGAGTTTCTTTCCCCAGAAATCAAAACTGTTGTTTCGGGACCGATTACATCACCTAGATTCTTCACATAAAGCGTTGACCGCTTCACTTATCTTGCGAGTCTCATTAGCCTTATTGCGTTGGTGCCATGAGAAGTCTTGGCTGGCGTTAAGCAACCTGATTGGCAAATTGATGTAAGTCCTCCAACTCTTAGTGAAGTTCAAAAAATTATAATAAATCCAAAGAGAAGGAGAACAGTGGGGCCTGATCAACTAATCCCTGAAAATTTTAAGGATGGTGGCTCAGTTTGAGCAGCTAGAATAAGTGAAATACTAGCTAACATCTAAAAACTGGATGTAGTCCATCTGACTGGTCCCGATCGTTGATCGTCTCAGTTCATAAGAAACGATAAAAATCCTCTTGTGACAATCACAGAGCAATCAATTTATCTAATATAGCATCTAAAATATTAGCCTCAATACTTCGGTATGTAAATAGAGCTCTTGAAGAGCGAACCCGAGAAAACCAGACTGGTTTCAGACATGGACCTGGACATGTAGACCGAATACTCGCCCTCCGGCAAATTATGGAACGTAGACATGCTCCCCGACGTCCGATTACAGTTGTATCCCTTGATCCTAAGGCGACATTCAACTTTGTTTATCGTGAGGTTCTGTGGTAGTGTCTGTCATTGAAAGGAGTATCAAAGAAGTATACTAACCTTGTACAGTCATACTACCTGCACATTTCTGGTCGAGTCAGAGCTTAGCAAACTGTCATCGGAATTGGTTACTTCAAATGATGTTCGTCAGGACTGTCCTCTTTCCTAATTTTTATTTAATTTTGTCAGACATGCTTTTAGCGATAGTACATCCATCGTTTGACTTTTTCAGGGGTTAACTTTGTAACGGGAGATTCACTTGTCGACTTAGAGTACGCAGACTATATAGTATTGTTTGCTGGATGCACTGACAAAATACAGTCTTCCGATTACCTTAAGCAACAATCTAAGGATGTTTGGAATGCGATTTTCTCCCTCCCAATGCAAACTGTCATTTCGAGATTGGCTTACGTCACCACCTGAATTAGTGATAGAGGATGAAGTAGCTAAATGGATTGACTGCTCCATTTATCTGGAGAGCCTCACAATACTGGTCTGGTTTCCGACGAAATCTCAGCACGGACATATAAGGCTCCATTGGCTCCTGCCAACTTGCGTCACTTGTGGAGTAGTCGAGATATTCGTCTTTCAACCAAAAGGCAAGTCTACTGAGCAGCAGTTCACTCCGTTTTACTTTATGGATATGAAACTGCCATTAAGAGTATAAGATATTCGTAGGCTACTGGTATTCGATCATAGGTGTATACGAATCATTGCTCGTGTATTTTAGGACCACAGAATCATAGCACTAAATAAATATGGGGAATTAATTGAGAAGGTAGTAAATCTTCATCAATTGAAGTGGTTGAAACATATGTTGCGTATACCAACCACTATCTTCCTCGACTGACAATGTTTTCTGGTGTAGAAGTAGGCTCAGAGACAGCTAGGGGCGGAAAATCCAAAACGTTGCATCGGTCCAAGATGCCACTGACAATTAAATTTAACCACGTTAATAGGTGGAGATTGCTCGGGTGTGGTCCGCGTGATTATCAAAACCAATGATTAGAGACTTTGAATGACATAGGTTGACACGGGTGTATCGATTCTTTGCCTTCCCTCAATCCCTGAGATCCTGGATTCCTAAATTTCTCGTTTTTATTTTACTAATTTATATCTTTTTTGAGTTGTATTTTTGATGCCTAATCTTTCCTATTACCAAAGATAATGTTACTAACTCTACTATTCTGAGATTTGGTCTGAAAATTTCATCTCTCTGTGCTAATGCGGTATGACAAATTAAACCGATGTACATACGTACCATTTTCTACGTTGTGACTGACTGAATGAACTGAGAAATCATTGTGAGAACCAGAAGTGATACCCTAGCACAAAGAACGATTATTTAACGTTACCATTACAAAAATCTGATTGATTTACTAAGCATATGTAGAATGCTCAGTAAAAGGGAATGGAAATGATGGAGGGTGAAGTGTATCCAAATTTTAAAGCCACTGCATTATAATAATGTCATTTACTGAATCTAGATCAATAAGTCAGGACGTTCAATAAAACCTTAGTATCTCTAACAATCGTCCCATTCATTTCAGGTAGCATATATAGATGGTTAACTTAGACTTCTACGAAATTTTTATGATTGCTAATATTTTTCATAGCATCCCATTTGTACAATTCGTCTTGCCGTTTCCAAACTGTTGTTCGAATCAAACTGTTAACTCCCTTCGGAAAATATATGTTACATTGATTATCATTCACCATAACGTACCTCTCTACGTACATCTTGTCCGCTTAAGCTGTTGTCATATTGGTAGATTCCGAAAATACATGGTGCATACTTTCTACTTGGTGTTGTGAAAACTATTCTAGTTGATTCTTCATATATACATATTCAATAAAGTTATCATTGTTTTTACCACCTGTAGCCATAAATATACGTAAAATAAACGGGGATTCCGAAAGTCGTCAACAGACACTTTTCCAGCATCTGATCTATGTGTTTTGCCTCAGCGGTAATCCCAATCGGAAGTGCATCTATTGCGTAGCCAAAACGTATAAAATAGAATTAAATAACGTGGGATAGGGAGGGTGCTTGTTACCGAGGGAACAATATGCAGAGTGCTTATGACGAACTGAACACAATAAAAATACACGGTAAATGCTGAAACAACACAATTTTATCTAGCTTGTTGTAAAATAAGTAACTTAGGATAGTTTAGATCAATTCAGGATCCTCAAAAGACATGCAGAGACGATATTACAGTATCCTCAGAGTTTAGTGTAGCAAGATATTTAAGAAATTTGGATGGGGCAAGTGTGCATAATTTCTTTGCTTTAGTTAGGAACACATCACTGCTTTTCAAAATTAGAAAAGACTACAACACCATAATTAACGGGAGAATCAATGATATTAACGATAGCAAGTCTCGAATTCTAGCGCTAAGTTCATTTATCTATATGGTTAGACAGTATTTCATCATTACAGCTGGTGTCAATTCGTGATGAAAACCTTTACCGTAATTCCTAAACTTAACTTCTAAATTCTAATCCCAATCCAAAACCCTTTTGACACCAGAATTTATCTGTCTTCTCAAAGTTACACTACACTGAATCAAAGGGCATCTATAAGGTATAGTTTCATCGAAAAGACATTTCTATGACGATTCACGAGCGTATCAAGAGTCCGCAGAGAAATAGATTTCAAAGCGACAGTTTAATTATCATTACAGTTGATACTGAATGCAGTCAAATAGACGTTACTTAATCTGACGCAAATAACTGAGGTAGGCATAGTGAAGACAAAACGCAAGTATAACTTACAAATAATATATATACTGATGAAAAAAACTCAGTATTTTTATGACCTACTTCCTTGAAGGAGACTCTGCCCCATAACATGAGCCACAATAATTGGGATCTCTTGTCGTTGTGATAGCCGAAGCATCATTTACAGCTGAGAAAATATTATTGAGTATGAGCTTACCATGGCGAACACTATCCGATAAAGGAGTGCCATCAACTGAAACACTAGTTTTGTAAACTTCGTGCATAACATTTAGCTGCTGCGCGCCCGTCGTGTCCATTGTATCTAGGCTTAAAACTAAAGTTTGCATCCAAGGCGCACAAACTTGACTTACATCTGCACGGGATAAAGTTTAACGTTATATCCAAGTAGATAGACATCTTTTCTCCACGGTTGACATCTACAATAATCTCCTGCTTACTCCGGGTGCGCGTAAACGAGAGAAGTTCTGATGTGAACAAAATTCCGATGATTAGACTACTTATTATTGAAACTGAAAACGATGAAGTGAGCTAGACCAAAAATGCAAGCAAAATACCCAAAGCTCCAGACAGCGTTTTGATACGAAAGTCTTTGAGTGGTTTTGCAAAAGCATCGAAATTCTGAAGAGACTTCATGATATAAACGATCACTGAACAGCAACAACTGGCAAGGTTTAAACGTTAGGTCCTTTTGAAATGTGCCCGCCCTTTCGTTTCAACGACCTTGAACGGCTTGACTAGAGGCGGTCATTCCGTATTTCAATTGCCGTGGGTTGGTTGGATTGCATGAGTACCAAGTTTTTTCATATATAAGTCATGTTATGCTACATAAAAAAGCACGAAATAAATACCAAAACCATTAATTTAGCGTTCTCTGTTTTGTAGTGTACACGTTGGCTCTGTTGTTGCTTTGTAATTTGATCTTTGATCCCAACAACTGTAGTAAAGCTCAACGAAATGTCAAGTCACAGGTAAATCCTAAGTATTTGTAGTATTTTCTTGGGTTATTATTGTCGCAAGGAATAACCTTTTAATAATTAGTCATTTCTGTTTTTAGTGCTTCATGCTCAAGTGACATTTCAGTCGACCTAACCGATGCCTTTCGAAGTATGATACTGAACAAGCGTTTCGTCTTGTGGGATGATTTTGAAAGCGCCTTAAAAGAGTTCCAAAAAGTATGGAATTATAGTTTTATCGCTTCTCAGACTACTTATACTCGTTACATCCACACAGAGAGCAGATTGCTGAAGGATGTCAGGTTCAAATACCTGTTTGTATCGTTTAATTGTACGTTTGGTCATAAGAGGAAATCGGAAGGTTTGAAAGTGAGGCAAAAATCGTAAGATCTGTAACTAATATCTTATGTTTAAGGTCTAAATTCCGTAATTGTCGATCTAAATTTCGTGTAAGACTAGAGGAGCAAGGATATGTCATCAAATCCTACAACATGCTCCACAATCATCCATGTAGTAGTTCATGGATGGTATGTGATCCATTGACAAGGAGATTATCGTCAGAAGAAAAAGAGAACTTGAAGCCCGTAATACTTCACTGTGAGTCAGCAGATGAAGTTATCGAAAGCATTAAGGAGAGAACTGGTAAGCAAGTAACTGCTGCCGATGTCAAAGGTATGAAAGCTACACTCTCCACTGGTAAGTGTATATAAATATATTTCAGGTTGTTTTACTCGGAACCAGGTAATGGATATGCTTAGACAGAGAGGCGAAGTGAAGGAACATTTAGAAAATGGATATGCCACTAGAATATGTTTCAGTAGTTCTAACCAAATACAACTGTACAGAAAATATCCAGAAGTTGTGTGCATTGATTCTACGTATAATACTAATAATAAAAAGTGATTATGTTTATCGTTGTATTTTACTATGTAGATATTCCTTATTCCAGTTAGTAGTGACGGATAATTGCGGTCGAGGTCGAACTGTAATGTTTGCATGGACTCGAAGGGAAAAGCGTGCTGATGTTATATGGATTCTAGATCAATTCAAAGAGATAATGGGGGATACAATGTTGACTGAAACATTTGTGATGGACTGCGCAAGATGTGAAAGCGCGGCTGTCCGTATGACACACGGACATGCAAACATAATTTTGTGCGCCTTTCATGTAATTCGCGCTTTCCGGAAAAAGGTACACCAATGGTTACTTATATAAAATTGCCCTTAGACAAACGACAAAATAATGAAAGCCTACTTAACTCGATTGGTAACTGCGGAGACGGTTGGAAGGTAATTTTTGTAATGTGTTTATTCAATAGATTTAATCAATATTACAGAATAATAAATCGGCGGGACAGATTGATAGGTCAGTACCTGTCACGTTTTTGGATGGCACGTAAGACGATGTGGGCGCGTGCCTTTTACGGTCATGTTTTAACATTCGGTAACAGCACGAATAATCGTGTTGAATCGCTGAGTAGGCAAATTAAACGATATGTACGCAAAAGTGATAGTCTGTACAAGTGTATGTACGGTAAGCTATATCAATTATGAAATACTAACTGCATAGCTCATCAACTTCTTAGGTATTGTAGCAGATGGAAGTTACATAATACCCAGAACTTCCAAAATTATACATTAACTGGATTAACACGACGGAGTGAAGTGTATATAAGCATTCAACGAAGTCAAAGAATCCATAAGCAACGCATTATTGAGAAGTATGGTGAACGTTTCGCAACGGAAGTTGAGAAGAAGGTGGACAATTATTACTTAAGAATTCTTAATACCAACTTGTAAACTTGATTTTTTGCTGTAGAATCAATGATTATTCAATAAACTGTCATAATTTTAATTTTCATCTTATTCCTAGTTTCATGGGAATAAATAGCAATGACGTTCATGTGTAACTGTTTGTAATAATTAAGAATGATTCAGAAACCCTACATCCACGTATAATCTTGCAGATTAGGCACCCACATATCATATTCACCTTCGTCGGATTACGTTTATAATTAAAATCGTATCAGTAGCTAAGATTTTAATTCCATGTGATTAGTTCCGCTTATGAATTAAAATGAAACCAGGATAAATGTTGATTAACAGTGGTATGCATTCGTTATAACTAAATATGCATTAGGATTTAACAGTGATGTGGGAAACAGTTGACATACCTTAATATGAATAATTGAAATGACGTGGGTTATCAATAATGACTAGATATATATATATATATATGCAGTTTAAGGTCAAAGGTCATTTGTTTTTACAGTCAATAACACATTAAGAATGGGTGGTGTAATAGTGGACTGGAGTTCACAGACAGATAAGTGGTGTGAAAATCTTATGGCCTATAAGTGATCCGTGGATTTAAGAACTGAAAACTTGGGTCACGTAATAACTTATTACAATTTGAAGAGGTCACATAATTACAGAGGATTAAGTGAGCAGATGTAAGTGACAGGGTGCTGGAATAAATCGGCAACTAAATTTTAAAAGTGAAATGAATTAATACATAATCCATCTTATTACTTGTTCACTCCATGGATTATAAGGAGTTCATATTATTCTATATCTATATTTGTTCTAGCGTCATATGGACTATTAATAAAGACGGACACGGTTTATAAAGTAAGACAATAAGTGTAGTTGCTATATTTATATTTCACTAATTCATTAGTTGAATAAAAATGTTACTAGGCAATACGGAACACAGTTAACGTGAACATGTAAACCGTTTTTTAACAAATTCTGTAAGTTGTAGACCGGCGTAAACATCACAAACCTTTGACGACTTTATTGGATTCATACAATTCTGAAAAACAAACAAATCAGTTGTGAAATAAAGAATTAGACCCAGTTATAAGTATCACATTCAATAAGTACATCAAATAGCAGGTTACAGAATGTACCTATAAGTCTCTTATTTGCAGACAGCGCTAATCATTAGAGATTTCTATTTCCTTTAATAATAATTAATAGGTAATCTTTACAACACACAAATCAATGTTATTTAAAAATTGTTTTTTTTTTTTTTTTTTTTTTTTTTTTTTTTTTTTTTTTTTTTTTTTTTTTTTTTTTTTTTTTTTTTGCATAAACGAGATATGAATACAAGGAACTTGTGATTCTGCTTCCATTGCTCATTCACTTTTCGTCCCGTTGTCTGCATGAATTACTTCGGACGAGTCAGTCCGTAATACAGTAGGAATTCATTAATTAACTCATGAATAGTTGTTTTTTATTCAAGTCTGTGTCGTAACAAGCACTGGAAATTTATTCAGTGTCTAACCCTTGTATTATTTCGTACATACATCTGGTATTAGCAAGAAAAATTGGTAAGTACCATTTAGATATTACTCGACAATATGCATCATAAGTTTGTTCACATTTTCGTCTGAGAATGTGCATTTCGTTTACAGAAAATTATTCGTCAACGCTATAACAGACACATCATGAATCAATATTAGGTACGACATGGTTTTGTCACCATGCTCAGAAGAGACAGCCATCGTTTCACTTATGAAGATTTTGTGCCTATTTAATGTGGTGTTATACACTGTTCCTGTATACGTTCATAAAGCCGGTAAAAAAGACTATCAACATCAATTCTTACTCACATAATTTTTCTCTGATACGTTACACAATAATATGTCACTTCAATACCAAACAATGCTACCTTTAGTGCAAATAACCTTTTATGGCTAAATACAAACAATTTATATAATATCCATAGTTAGTTTAATGCTTACTTCTTTCTGATAACATCGTATAAACGACTGCGAACATCTATGTTTGCTGTCACCATAATCAAGGAGGTGAACCATATATAATGCTTTTCACGGCTTATATTCATGAAAAGTCAATCTGTTTTCTATTTTTCACTAGAAAAATGGTGATTTGACTTGTTTGACCTTGTATAATTAAAAAATAACCATATTACGCCAACTGCATGTTTACTTAGGTGGTGAGCACAAAATACGTCAAACTGCTTATAAATTGAAATAAATACTATCTTCCAATCACAAAGATTACGAGAAGTCACGTATGATGGAAAAAAGGCTGTTAATAGCTGATAAATAACGAAACATAAAATCCACGACAATATGTTACATGTGCGCGAAAACCCGTAAACTAACACACATAGTGTGCCGCAACAACTTCCCACTTAGTTCGTAATGTATGCATATGCAGACAAGGTCATTAGAGGACGTGCCACGTCCAATATAACGACATACAATTGAGTGGTCAAATGGTTGGCGAAGAAATTAAAAAACTCCTAGCTTAACGAAACACCGTGTACACAAACAGTAGACCATCAATTTTTTAAACAATCATACTAAAGAAGATTCAGATTTGTGTAGTAGTACAGAATGCCTACAGCCTGTTATTCCTTTTTCCAGCCTTCACCTGAATGAATCAATTGAAGGTGTGGACACCACTGCTCCGGGTAACAGGTTCCAAGCGTTGATGACTCGATGTGTATGTCAAGGGTATTTTTTCGTTCATAGCTTTTCTACTCGCCTGCTATGTCCTTTGACATGTCCCAGCCTAGTGGGAAGAAAAAGAGAATACATATTAGGTCCAAAATCGTTTCTTAGTATTCTATACGTCGAAATTTGATCGTCACTTAGTCTGCGATAGGACAGAGTAAAGATGCCTAGATTTCAAGATGCTCTTTGCATGTTAAACACCGTAGATCTGAAATTGCATGGGTAGCTGCCCTCTGTGATTTTTCTAGGATATTCGAGTCACTTTTCAAACAGGGGCTTGCAGCCTGAATGTAAATTTCAAACTTAGTTCTTACTGAGTTTTTGTTTATTGTAGTGAACGCAGTAGTATCTAATTTGGTGAATGTCCGGCTTAAAGCCTAGGGGGTTCCAAACCGCTTAGCTACGACCTCCAGGCAATGGGCCGCGGTCTTGAGATCATGATTCACTGTCACCCCAAGATCCTTATGAAACCGGATCACGGGTACAGGCAGTTTCTCTAAGCTGTACTTAATAACCTTTGTATCTCTAAAGTAAATATAGACACACATTGCCACATTGATAGGCATCAGCCACTTTTTAGTCCAGTTAATCATATTATTTAAGTCTGCCTGAAGAGCACATGCGTCTGTATCTCCGGTTATTGCTCGCCAGATCTTTACATCGTTAGCGTACAATAACATTGGAGACTACTATACTTGGAAGATCATTTACGTACATTATAAAAAGTAAAGGACCTAGGACGGAACCTTGAGGCACTCCACTAAGTACTGGTCTCCAGATGGAGCAATTGGGATATATTCTTACTCTCCGTTTACGACCTACTAGGAAATCCTTAATCCATTTTAAGAGAGGCCTGGCAATACCAAGATTTTCCAACTTCAATAGCAGTGTATTTGTTGGCACCTTGTCAAATGCCTTAATGAAGCCTATGTAGACAACATCCACTGAGTTTCCGTTGTCTAGTGCCCCCATTAAGAGCTCTCTTGTTATGTAGAGGTTTGTTTTGCAAGATAAACTATTTCTGAAACCATGTTGTTTGCTGTTTAACATGTTGTTGGTTTCTACAAATGTCATTATGATATTCTAATATTTTAACTACAACACTGGCGAAGCTGACATGTCTGTAGTAAAAAGGAAGTGGTTTTGGTCCTGTTTTATGCTTAGGAATGACGATTGCGTCCTTCCAGTCCATAGGTAACACACCTTGGTCAAGTGACATACGGAATATCAGAGTGAATAGGTATAGTATTCTAACTGTCGTATGAATT